AACATTTGACAGACAGTGTTAAATACCAGAGGATTCATATCAACCACTTTATTTGAAAAGGTGCTTTGAAGTTGGCTATCTTTCATGTACCTCTTTCATGGCACATTAATAAGGAAAACTGAGATGGGGTAAATTAAGTCCCAAGGTCATATCTAGAGTTACAGCACTGTGGGTACCTGATGAAATACGGATTAATGCTGCATGAGCACTGAATAAATAAAACCACTTCTGTTAACCACTCAAACAAGTTTTACAAGTAGTTCTGAACTTTATTCGGCAACTAGACTTCAGACATCTTAATCCCCCCACACTGCTTTGAAACCTAATTATCATAATGTGAACCCGAATGTTAGGTCCCTTTCAAACTGCGAGTGCTATGAAGCAGAAAAGTAATGGGAATTAAGCTAGTGTAACATTAGAAATGTAGAGGCATGGAACTTGAAAGTGGCATTTGTTAAAGCTGAGAGAGCATAATGTAGATATTCAACAACATAAAACACACTTTTAAATTGAAAAGGATATTTAAAGCATGTGCAGACACCTATAAAATACAAGTGGACCTAAAACCCCATAGAACAAACATTTCTAAATCAATTTCTTGCCACCAAGGTCCAACTTCAAAAGGCATCACAGTCCTATTCCACCTTAGCAGAATATTTCTAAGTATTCTAAAGCAGACAATTTAAACATTAAAGAAAACCCAATGAGAACTTTACAAGACATTACAGAATTTCCCCTATTTGTCACAGTACAGAATTGTTTGAACTTGAACAGCAGTAAATTATTAATTACATTGCTTATAAAGTCTTGAGAGCAAGAAAAGATTTTGCTGTAAGTGGCAGAAAAGGATTTTGCATCAAGTTTAAAACCAAGTAGACAGAAATTAAACACCAACCCATCTAAACAACAGCAAAAAAATACACTTGCCTTGCTGCATCCTACGCTGCATATTGAAAACAATTAACAATTCCTGACACTTATCAAGCTTCCTTTTAAATACAAGCTGAAATACTTTATTTTGAGTGTGCATTAATGCAGCAAGCACATAAGAGACCAGTAAGAATGCTTGTATTGTGACAACAAAACTGTTGAGGCTGAAAGAGAAATTGTGATTTGATTTTGCCAAATACAAAGATTGAGCTGTTTATTTTGTCCTGCTTTAGCATAGTTCACCTGTCATTCAAATAGTTTTCATTTCCAAGATGCCTCAAACTGACAGTAATCAAAGAAAAACAGATTCCTGAAATATTTTTTTTAAGATTTTCATTTAATCCAAAAAGGCCAATGAAATCCTAAAAGTTCATCATCTGCCATGTTAATGCTGAACACAATGTTGTTTCATTTACATTTCTGGTCCTGTTAAAACAAATACACTTGTCTAAACTAGAACATCTGTTTTGGTTATAATACAATGTATCTTTGGCAAGAACTCACAATGGAACTAACACAAATAATCAAGAATATTTATTGAACCTTGTAATAAAAACTGATTTGTAACAAAAAACCCAAAGACTAGATATGACTGTCCCTGGCTCTAGTCCAATCCTAATCTAAGTCAATAAACACAGCTCTAAAAGGAAAACTACATTTAAAAAAAAAGAAAAGAAAGTCCTGTAGTTATTTAGGTTGGATGTAACTCTTTGAAAGCACGTTAGTTACAGAAATAGTGAAAAATATTTGCTTTAAATCAAAAACTGTCAAGCTGAGTCCAGACAGGTTTCAAAGCCACATGAAAATCGTGCCATATGCCTTATTTCCTACTACTGTCTTCACAGACTTGTCTTCTCTTTGGGAAGCTTCAGGAAAACTCTACAAAGTTTATATTTGCCATTGCTAAGTATTTTTTATTTTAATCACTTGCTTATATTATGTTTAGCCTTCATTATTTATGCATGCACCAACTGCACACACCGTTCTGAATTTACATATTCTATTACTGTCTCACATTCCTGGAAATGCATGATTCCAAGTTCTATACAATGAGTTGGATGGAAATGTATGAACAGATTTTTATATTTTTATAATAATTCCTGATCCTATTCTCCACAGCTAATATTTCTCAAGGAAGTTGAAATCTGTAGTACCTCCCCATTAGCCACCTTTCTGAACAACAGCTTATGTTTAGTGTTTTGCTTTTAAAGCACTATAAAACAATCCAACCTCATCTGCTAAGCCCCTTTACATTTGGATTCCTTGAAGGAAAAAAAATTTTCAATGCAGATACAATTAGTAATTCTTCAAAACTTGCACACAGCAATGAGCTGAGCTGTTTTTCTGGGCAAGGATTTCCACCTTGATCCAGCTCAGTGCATCCCTGCGAGAAGGTGAAGGCTTGGGACACGGTATCATGTTAGATGCAACTGACTCATTCTGTCACAGTTCAAGTACTGGATGGGGGTTTTTTGTTCTAGGGGGTTTAGGTGTTTTGTTTTGTTTGAGGTTCTTTGTTGCTTTGTTTTCCCCACAGTTCAAACACTATACTGATTAGCAAGTCCATTCTTTATTTAACACTGCAACCAGCTGAAGCAGGCTTTCTTTAAGAATTAACTGTTCCAACAATAGCTGAAATTATTTCTTATAGATTTTAACTGGAAAACAATTCATCAAGATCATTTCATCCAAAAGCATACACAGGTTTCCACAGAACTGATGAGAGATCCGTATTCAGCCAATGTACAAACAAAGTCCTCATACTTTAAAGAAAAGTCTATCATGAGAAAACAACCTAATCTAGGAAGACTTTGAACATGGAAGCAGAAAAGCTGTTTGTGATCTGAAAGCACATACTCTGGAAGACTTTACTGTTCAAAAAGAAGAGGATCAGAGGAGCATATTCATCCAAGTCACTTTTCAGAGTTCCCCTCAAAAGGTATAGCAGTTATCTTGATATAAACCTACTGTCACCTCTTGCTCAAACAGTAACACTGTACTAATTGCTCCTCATTTAGCAAGTATCACATTTTTTAACTCTGACTGACATAAATTCCAGGCACTTCACCGGATTATCAGAAGTGGGAGTTGGATGGCTGGACTCATCGTTCCTTTCTGCTCCTAAGAAATACCAAGGAGATTAATGCTGTCTGGCACTAGAAACGAAGAAGTAGCTACCTTGCAGGATTCAGTAGCATGGCTTGGAAACCCCCACACTGGATAAAGCAAGGAGATGTACATGAAACTAGTTTATCAGAAATAGATGTATGAGAACCCTGATCCATATGAAAAAACTCAGTACAGACTGACAAAATTAAAAGAGAGACAAGCACTGCAAATATAGCTTGTCTGTAAACTCACATACATAAATTCACACACACACAGCAGTACACAAACCCCCAGATGTCACCTACAGCATGAAGTACAAAAAAAACCCACTTTGCTTTAACATGCAGTACCTCATGGCTCTGCACACAAATTCTGACGTGTGGACTAGCTCTTTACCATATAAGCCCAACACAAAACAGCCATTACCAAGATAATTAAAAATATTTTTGATTATGTTAATTTTCAGGATATAACATGTCACATTAAACAACTGCTTTATGGATTTTTGCTACAAATATCAGAAGCTTTGGAAAATGTGAAAGGTTAAAAAAATTATCGGTCACTACTAGAGAAAGCAAAAAATTGTTAACCTGACTTCTGCCTTATAGCATTTATACTAATTCCTATTACACAAGAGCTTTTATCAGTTGCAACAACTTGATAGCTTAAGTACTACTTTGAAAATTTTGTCATCTTGAACTATAAACAGGGAGAAAATATTACATCAGAAGATGTAAACACAATGAGAAAAACAACAATCACAGTATTATATAAAAATCTGTGTAAACTAGTATATGATCAATAAATAAACAAAACCACTATTTCAGACGAAGTGCTTATAGCAACATAATGAATTTTTAAGCTATATTAAGTGAACAATAGTGAAATTAAGCATTTGCCAAAACCCACACAGTATGAAGTCTTTTACACTTTCTACAGTCATAAAACATTCACTGTTTTTGCATTGGATTCAGTAAAGATGATGCCTAATTTTTCAGAACCTTGAATAGCCTCTTCCCTTTGCAAACAATTACAATTAAAACATCTTTGTCACATCTCCTAAAATAATAAAATAAAAGTGATTTAAGAATGCAATCTTGTGCAAATTTAGAAACAAAGAACAAGTGCAAGCACAAGTTAGTAGAAATAACACATTTGTTAAACGAATCTGTAAGACCACTTCCTAATTTATGAAAAAGGCACCTTTAAATGTATATAATAGTTTGAATGGCAAAAGGCCATAACCTTTTTAAATAAAGAAGACTTATTTCAGTATGCTAGGACAGTGAAAACTAAATACTGCTGTTAAATGTCAGCACAAAAAATAATCCAAGGTAAATGACTAAAATGTTTTAAAAAAAAAAAAATATAGGTGGGAATTTAAAAAAAGAGGAGTTCTGCATGGTAGAAAATCAAGTGATATAATACAGTTTCCATCCAAACCAACAGAAGACTACTTCACTTCAAATTCAACAAACTAATGGATAAAATTTGAAGTCTGAAAAGGATAAATTCTTCACTACTCTCCATTTGGTATTAACACAATATTTATTTCCAGATCATTTAATTCCCATAGGATTAGCCAGCATTCCATACTGCAGTCAGACAACAGAAGCTTTATCACATGCAGTAAAGCCTCATTTATCAAGAAATAAATGCACTATGCCAAGCAGGTCCTTAGCTGTTAGTGTCACTATTCTAGAATACTTTGTTACAATGATAATAGCAACAGAGTGAACCTCAGGAAAAAAAAATAAAATGCTTCAGTGAGTCTCCCTTACTGACTCAGGATAACTACTGTCATGCTTCAAAGAGCTACAGCCAGTTTTCTTTGGCTAGAACACTGGGTCAAGCTTGACTCAAATACAGACAGGGCAGCAATTCAAAAATTACATCTAAAACTACCTGTTAAGTTAAAATATGTTGAACAAAGGAATAATATCCCAGCAAAGGGATCTTACCAGTAAACAACATCCAATGGTGCAAAATATTTCTTCATAATTAAGTCAGCAAAGTAAGCTTCTGTTTCTCTGCAGGCCGTGCCATTGCCAATCACAACAGTGCTGCAGCTTTGTGTGGGTGAAAAAAACCAAACAATTATTCTTAAATATTATTTTATACCTTTTCATGCATAGTATTCAATCCACCACAGTGACCAATACATCTGATTTTAGGTAACATAAGGCCCAGATGTAATGAGAAAACATTCCTAGAAGCATCATGTTGTGTTTAACAGGTTTTCAATGTGATAGTTCACGAGATGAGTCAAACTTTCACTTATTTGTAATGGGATTATACAGTGGTAATATAAGGAGAAAATTCAAAAATGATACTTCATATTAATAAATGGAATGTTATTTATAGTCTTCATACACTTTCACCTCGTATTTCCCTCATCTGGCATGAGTCAAGAAAAAGAGCAGAAGCCAAAGCAATCAGCATCTTCATTCCTTAATGGGACTATCACAGTTTCCAACAGCCTGCCAGGTCATTCCCTCTGACTGCCCATACCACGGCCAGTCAGTCACCAAACCACCTTGTTTAAAGCCAATCTAATGCTGATAGACAAACTGGACTGTATGCTGTGGCAATTCAGCAGCTGACTCAGTACACCACATGTCTGTCCACAGACACAGTTGAACACAAACTCGTAATCATGCTGCTCCTGTTTGTAATTCCATCTGGAGATGTACTTTTGCAGGATTTCCTTTGCTTAACAAAACTCTGCCGAAATCTAATGTGGCTTCAGGAACAGGGAAAGACTGATGAGTGATTTGGGGGTTGAGGCAGTTAGAAGAAGAAGGCTAAACTTATTTCTTAGCTGAAGGCTATTCCCAAAAATAAATGGATTAACAGAGTTTTATGGGAATACATTCATAGCACGTAGCCTTAGTCATAGCCATGGCTTGGTTTCATGTGCTTCTAACATATATGTACTGCAAAAGCACAAACACAAAAGAAAACATAAGCTCTGAACTAGACTAAAAAAATAAACCTCCAATTGAACCAGCAGAATTCTTATTGTACTCAAAATCAAGTTTATCTATAGTGAAGACTTTCATTTTGAAGAATGAGCAATAAATGAAGTTTCTTTAGCATACTTGTACTGCAGGAGAAGCCTCTTTATCTTCTCAGCTTCACGAAATCCTTGACCAGAATGCAAGTAAACTACATCAGTATGGAGGATCTGACCTAGAACGAAAGGCAAAGTCATTTGATCAAACCCACAAAAGTCCAAAGCTTCTATCCAGCAGAAGTTAATTTGATGATTCACAAAGAAAGTTTCTAATAAGCCATCTTTCCCTTTAATCTTTATGTCCTTTTAGAAGAAATGTATGGTGGGCATAGGACAAGAATGCTTTGGCTGGCAAAGAAAAACAAGTTAATATATTTTGTAGTTCCCTGCAGACATATTCATAGCAAGTAATGAACATCTAAACCTATTTGCAAATATAATGCATTATATCACAGAGAAAAAGAGCAATTTACTATAAAAGATTTATTGTTCCAGTACAATTTACAATTCCAGTAAAGAGTGATGAAAATGAGAAAGTCTAACAACTTGCAGTACAGGAGTTCTAGAATTCCAGTGCTAGCTCTTGTCATCATCCCATCTGTCACATTTGGAAAGAACTGTATTAACTAGTACTGACTAGTATTAACTAGCAGTAACTGTATTAACTAGTACACCACTAGATAGCTAACAGTACAATGAAAGCTCATAATCATTTACCTTTACTGCCTCTTAAAGAACACACCTTTCTTTGCACTCTCTTGGAGTGGATATATTCTTAGGCAAAAAGCAACAACAAAATAAAAGGAAATCAAATAGTCCTTGCATAGGCCTAAAGAGGTGTGTATCCCCTGAATAGACTAGGATGAAGTGGAAAGGCTCTGTTCTATATGTGAACTAAGAATATTTGCAAAAACAGTGTTTGACTTCTTACATTAACACACACACTGCTAAACAAAAAGGGCTGAAAAAGTGTCCAGATGTCCAAGATACTAGCCATGAAAAAAGCAGTATTATAGAAAGTATTTAAATTCAAATTCTTTGTTAAAGAATAAAAATGCCAGGTGTTCTCTTAGCTGACTACTGAGGGGCACAATCATTTGAACTCGTATTCAGGAAGACAAAAGGCATTTTAAATTCTATTTAAGAGAGCAGTAATAACACCAAAGAAGTCACTGGAATCCAGGTGCCAGAAATTTAACCTTAAGCTTGCTGAAGAAAGGAATTTATATGACAGGATGTGTGGAAAACACTAAAAGCTTCACAAAGGAAAAAAAAAAAAGGAATTGGATAAAAAGGTAGGTTTGAGACTATCTTCACTATAAATGAATATGCTTTTATCAGTCCTTCCAAAGATGTTTGGAATTGAAACTTACTGGTTGGTGAAATAATTGCCAACTTGCAGCCATGTTTGTAGCCAGGATCTACTCCCATTAAAGCACGGCCCCTCACAGGGCTGGTCAGAAGCAGCTGACGGAGATTTCTCCCAAACATCATCACAGACTCTTTCTCTGCATCAGATGTCAACTTAGATCTTAGAAGGATGGAAAAAAAAGAAAAAAAAAAAAGCCAGAACATTTTTCTTTCAATTAGGTTTTAAGTACACTTACTTATTGTTCCAAAGTTGTAAGGCTTTTTCCAAAATGATGTTTCCATCATCTTTAATTAAATGTTACAATCCAAATCAAGCTGTTGACACCTTTTTCAAAAGGATCAGCGATATATCTAAGAAAGTCAGTCAATATAAAAAGTACAAGAGAAACACTTGTGAAAACATATACCCACCAACTACCATTCAAACATCAACTCAATTTTGAGCAAACAACAGCTTCCTTTCAAAGCTGATACTAACTGTAAAGAAAAGTGGATTTGAAGCAGGCATGGATCAAACTCATCATAATTTCACAATTCTAGAGAAAAATTATGACCCAGCAAAAAAAGAATGTTGGTTTACACTGAGAAGTACCAGAGAGAAACTGGAAGGGTCACTCCAACTAATTGCTAGCATAGCATGACTCTCGAGGCATTTAATTTTGTCTTTGGATTACTTCATTTAACAGACATCACAGAAGCATGAAGACTTGAGCTTTTCCTAGGAGGGTATGCTGATTCCTCAGAACCGAACTGTAAAGCTGCTGGGGCCACAGTGTTCCCTTTCTTTTCCAAGCTACGTTCTTCAACAGAAAGAAGTGAAGTAGTGCAGTAAGGATTGATTTAGATGATTTGAAGCACAAACACTTACGGCAGTGTCACGAGAAACAAATTAGTCTTGTTGAGTGAAGACATAAAAGATGTATGATGTCATACTTGTCAGATGTGGCCAGCAAGACAATGACTGACAAGGACAAGTATTTTTGTCATGGTACAGATCTTTTAAAAAAAAAAACCAAAACAAAAACACAACACAAAACTGAAAGAGTAATGAGTACAAAAATATTAATCACCTCACTGATTTCTTTTTCTTTTACAGATACTCATTATCAATTGCATATGCATTACATTGCCAGTAACTCCAATAATTAGGAAGTCAAAAGCAATCCAGTAAAGCCTTCATTTAAAGGCAGCCAGTGCCCTTATTCTCCTTTTCTTTTTACCTATCACTGAAAAAAGCCTGTTATCTCTGTTTACCTCAGTTTTCTACAGAATGGAAAAAACCTTCATTAAAGTTAACTAACCCTATCAGAATGGGACAGGGAAAATTACTCAAGTCCTTTAGGTCAATCAATGCAAGGCTACAAATAGTTCAAGAACAACCCTCATAAGGGCTATTTGACATAATGGAATATGAAGCTGTTCTGAGCAGGTTTTGGTTGTGGAAGAACTCAAAAGCCCAGGATCCAACAAATCAAACAGCTCGGCCCTGTCTCACCCCATAGTGGTACAGGAAGAACTAGTAAGTCCTCATCATCTCTCATTTGTAAAGTAGTCCAGAGAGAGGTCTAGATCCTCTTTTACACATTACTGATTGAACATTTCCTAGGGAAGGGTGCAACAACAAAAGGCTCCCTTTTATCCACATGCTCTTTGTTTCTATATCAGGTAGATGAGATTATCACAGACACAATTTAAAGTGAGATGGGGAAGGACATACATGCATTAAGGCTCCTTAGCAGATCAAATGTGCCCTCAGCAAAGAGCAGACACTGTATATCACCAGCAAATGTGTGAATGGCTGCACAAGTTCAGGTAAGTTGTCCCTTAGCCCAGTATTCTGACCCCAGGTCTGTCTCCAAGCAGTTGCCTAAGCAGCTGATAGAGCAGCACTAGCATCTATTCCATAATCTTGTCCTACCTCCAACTGCTTCCGGAGTGTTTCCTGGGCTTGGCATGACTTGTCTCCTTACTAGTTTTTAATAGAGCTCTTGCTTAACTATCCAATCTCCTCCTGAAGATACATTTCTTTCATCCACAGAGTCTGTTGGCAGTGAGTTTTGCAGGTCCATCACAAACTGTGTAAATAGCTGCCACCTTTTGGCTGGAAACTGATTCTTTTTATTATGCTCCCCTAAGCCTTATACTGGAACAAAGTAAAAATTTATCCCTAGAAACCTTGTTCCACTCTTCACACCTAATTTATCTCTAAGTTCTCCCTTTTCCATGTTGAAGTCATAGTGTAGCCATTTTTTTATTTCCAGAGAAATTATTTCATTCCTCATTCTCCTTCACTGGGCCTTTTTCAGTCCCAGTCAATTGTTTTCCTACTTCCTACCCCTCTTCCCCATGTGAGTGTACCAAAATGGACAACAATATTCCAAATACAAGCCAAATAAATAAATGATTCTTTGTCTTTATTCCTTAACTAAATAACCCTATCTTCTGAGCACTTAACATTCATGTGGAGCTACCTTCCACAGTGCCAAAGAGCCTCTCCTGTGGCAGGATAGCTCAGAGCTAATAGTTTTACTTACAAAAAGATAACTACTTCCCCTTGGAAAGTATAAATTTATACTTATTCCACTGCATTTCAGTTGCCATTCCATTTCTTGATCATTCAGTCTTGCAGCATCCTTCTCCTACTTTACCCTTCTTTAATTAAAACTAAAAAAAATAATAATCCAAACTACAGAACAAGCTTCTACTAGGGAGAGTCCAAAGAGAGAAGAATTAGATGCCACTTATGAGACATCAGAGAAAACAAAAGCAAATACCTCAGCCTCACAGAAGTATGAATCTTCTATATACACACATAACAGAGAATCACCCATTCAGCCATACATGCAAATGAACGTTAAAAGTGGCTTGTAAACAAGAGAAGGGAATGCCCTTGGACCAGAGGCTTTGTACAAAGACAGGCCAAGTTCCATCGTTGCATCCATCCCAAAGATAGAGGGTCCCAGCTGCCACCCCCAAGGCCAAGTCCTCCCACACTGCAAATTCCTGTCAGTCCATCTAAGAAGGGAGACCTGTGTAGGAACTAAAGTTGCCCCTAAGCACATGCTATTAGTTATGTCAGCCTTACGGAAATCATGTTTAAAATTGGCATGGATATATAGCAACTTTTACAGTAACAGGAAATGTTACTGAAATTGCCAGGTGTGTAGGGCGAATGTCCTTTCTATTATGTAATATCCTGTATTTTTAAATTTCAAATATATATTTTTTCTCTGTCTCTTACTCAACTCTTACTTGTATCAATTACATGAACTACTATCCAAAGCAGTGGCCCTTAATTTCAAGCCTGTTATAATCATTTGATCCTTTGGAAAAAAACAAAAAGAAAAAGAAACCCATCAAGCTACCCAAAACAATCTAATATCTTTCTCTTTTTCAGTGTGTTACTGGCTTCATCTAAATGGCAAGATGCCCAGCTTGATGCTTTTCAAGTTTACTACAGTTCTCATTAATATGGCAGAGATAAAAGGCAGAGAGGAGTCCTCCTCTCTAAATACAAGAAAAATGGTTATTTTGAAAAAAAAAAAAAACGGCAAGCAAATAAACCTCAAAACTCTTCAGTTCTTACTTCATGAAAAAATATCAATCAAGTCAGGACTCGAAGCCCCTCCCTTGAAATCTACAAAGCAGTCAGACTGCATATCACTAACAAGTGTATTGTAATAAAAGCAAATAACAATCATGACCTACTAGTTTCTATATTCAATGTTATAAGATGCAGATTTTAAACTGAGATTTAAAATTCCCCACTTCCATGTTCAGCCTGAGATGCAATCATTTCTGTGGAAAAATATCTGCAAACTAGCTTCAGGTGTGAAACAAGATATACAGAGAAATGTTTGTGTCCCTGAAGACTGAGGAAAGAAAACTCTCTGCAAGAAAGCATGGAAAATTATGAAAGGATTATCCATTAAAAAATGTGCCCATGCCAAATCACTTGTATGAAACCCTAACGGAACCATTCCATGCAGTATTGCAACAAGACAAAATGTATTCCAAAGAGCCAAAAGCAACAATGGACATTATTATACCAGATACAAGAAATGATATCTAACAGAATGGAAGAAAGGAAATTAAACAATAAATAAGGTAATTGTCTTGCTGGCAAGTTTCATCGTTCTTCTGATCACTAGGAGCACCAGCAATTTCAATACATTCTTGGAAACTTTCTGTTCCAATACTTAATGATAATAATAAAAAAAAAAGAACAGCAGGAGGCAGGTTGGAAATATTAATGCTAAAAGGAGGTATTGAATACTTTAGCAGCCCTTTGCAAGAGTCGGAAAAAATAGCTCCTAGTGTGTCCGGAAAGAAAATAGGAGGAGGATAAGGGTTAAGTGGTCAGGGACCAGAATACTGTCAGGTGCTTTGAGTTCCTCTCTATAGGAGAGGTTTCAGATTTTCCTATCCAAACTCCACCAATCATGCAAAATCATCACAGAGAGTAAAACGTAAGCAGACATCCTCTCAGGAACCTGCAGCAAGCTTTATATTCTTCTCCTTGATTACTTGTGAGCTACATTTAATAAGTAGTAGGGCAGGATGCTTTTTTTTCCCTTTTGAATAATAGAATAGAAATCCTTCAGCAACCCACTACTCCAGCAGTCCTCCAAGTGTTACACACAACACAGACTACAACAGTCCTGTGGTACAAACCACTGAATAAAAACACAATAAAAGAGCCTTGAAGCATCCCTATGTCAGGTTGCTTAGTTCTCTTAAAATCAAACCTCACTAAAAAGTAAGTCTTTTTTCTTTATTTTAAAATAGTTTGGTTGTAGAGATGGCTAGGAATGACAACTATTTTCACTTCCATGTGACAGAAGCCAACAACAACTCTCCACCATGAGATGTTGACCATTTTGACCACAATAGACACAGTGCCTCCCCTACCATAGCTACACGTATTGCTGTCACAAAATAGAAGAGTGAACTCCGTATTTTTAGAAATCTGTGAAATTCTAAGTAACAAAAAATCAAGCTCACTAATCAAAAGAAGTGAAGCAATCTTGCTTGCAAAGCAATAGGCAAACACAACATACTGTAGTGAAGAAGCTCAAAAGCCACTGGAAATACATGCTGTTAAAATCTTGAGCTGATGGTTCTTTTCAGAGAGGTAGAACACACATCATTCTTGCAATGATGTTCATGAAAAGGCATCAGAAAAACAACTCCAATTCAAACACAAAAGCACAACCCGCAAAGTACAGAAGAAACACATTTCACAATGTGGTTGCTGATTTTAGATACTAGATAGCATGTCATTTTGATAGAAGTAATTTCAACATTTCTGGTCCAAGAAACAGGGTCTCTTCAATAAAATTCATTTTCAACTACCTCAAGAAAGCATTAACATATCAGACAGCCTTGCCAGAATGAAGGATGTTATGCTTGGAGGAGCTTCTCTGGTATTGAAGAATCACACCATAAATACTGTTAGCTATTAGAAGATCATGCTTTTAATTGACATATTCAATAATTTCCACTATGTGGTAACCTCTTCTACTACACCACGATATACCCTATTTAAATCATGCTTGATACTAAGTTTTAAATTTCCTTTAAATTTAGAACAGTATTAAAGATCTTAACAATTGACATGTCATCCAATGACGTATTACTACAACATCACCAGTAAGAAGTTCACTGACTTTTCTAGAGACATCACAATACTCACAAAATAGTATCAGACTAACACTGACTAATAAGTTTGCTACGAAATGCAGCTGGCAAACACAAAGGGTGCTTCCAATCCTAACTGTACTTCGCTGAGTTCTACTAGACAGGTAAGAGGGAGTCAGAATAGAGTCACTGACAGTACAATTGCTGTCACATGAAGAGATGCTGGGAAAATTCAGTGACATCATGGTTTATGCTATTACAAGAAAAAAGGTACAATTACCATGATAATATAGTTCTAAATTGTAGTTTATTAGATAAATCTATGAGTACCTAGCATGTAAACATGTAAAATGTCTTCACAGAAAGATAATTTCTCTACTGTAGTCGAAACTGTATAGGGTCAGTAATTAAATCTATAAAATCAAGACTACACAGTTTGTTTCTTCTGTAAGCACAGAGGATTAGAAACATGCTGATATTTTCAAACAGATGAATGATAGTTTAGCAAAACATTGGGGAGGGAATTGTTATAAAAATCAGTAATATGAAAATACAGATTTATTCCAGGCTTACCTGAATTCCCTGCACAGAAGAGGATATATAAGGCGTTTATATGCATCCTCTACAGAACTCCGGAATAGCCTCATAAATTCCGGTTTTAAAAATTGTTTTGGTTTCCATCTGAAAAAGATCAGAAGAAAAATAAAAGAAATATTTTAAAAATACATACAAACAGCTAGATTAAAAAGGAATTTTCCAGAAAGCCTTCTACATTGTTAAATCTTATAAACTGCAGAATTACTATAATAATTCAGCAACTAAATCATGAGTTAAACATGAATGGAATGAGAAGTTGCCCATAGTTCTAATACTACACAAGGGCCAGGCTTTTCTTTTCTTAGGTATGAGAATACAATTATGGTTGATTTTTAAAAGAAAACCTTTAAAAAAACCTGTCCACTTTGAGAAGTCAAAGCTTATTACAACTCAACAAAGAACTTGGTTCCATATTACATTTAGGGTTGCATTGTTTGCTGTTCTTCAATACATTAGAAAAATGACTAAACACCCTCTGTGACTGCCACTGCAGAATTACTGATAAAAGGCAGCTATGCCCAGACAAAGATTAAGGAGGTCAACTAATGCTAATAAATGAAACCCAATTCAAATTTCATTTGGGGTGCTTTGACTATCTGTATTCAACTTCTAAATGAACTCTTACTAATTTTGCAGCAGTTCTTAACATCACAAAAGCAAAAAAACTTACAAACTGTTTTTCTGTTTTACCTGTTACTAATATATTTGAGTGTAAATGATAATATAGGACGAGGGAAAACTAAATAAACGACACCAAACAAAACTGTTTTCCAACTTTTTCTAAGCCAAACTCTTTGAAGCCTTAAACTCTTGTCTAGGGAGAATGCACAGTAACTATGTAGCTATAATGCAAGTACTTCAAATTTTGCTGTAAAATACACCTCACTTTCAAAGCTTCCTAGATATTTAATCTATTGATCTTTTTGTTGTGGGCAAAGTTCCATGAAGGATGGTGTGGGGGGATGTGGGTTGGTGTGTGTGTTTGTGAGTCCTTGAACAAGCAGAACAGAGTAATTGAGATTGTTCACCATGTGAGAAGAGATTGAGGTTGAGGAGAAGCAACTGGATATATTATACTGAAACAGAAGCAAACACTACTACCATTTTCTATTAAAATACACCTGGTTTTTATTACTTTTTAAAAATATTGATAACACTCCAAGTTCTCTTCACCTATTGTATTATTTAACATGCCTGGGTCCCGAACTGCAATGGGAGATACCCAGACATTTAAAAATAAGCATGCAAGTTTGGTTTGTTTGCTTGGCTTAGTTTTTTTTTTATGAAACATGGTAGAATTATGGTCATAATGTGTCCAGGGGTCGGCAAAAAAAGAACAGAATTTTACTTTTGACCTTATTTACTTGCAGCCACTCAAAAATACTGAGAATTCTAAATTGCTCCTACCCAGACAGCTTTTCAGTTGTCTAAGGGGATCTGCAACTTCCTGAAACAGCTTTTCTAAGGATCTCTGCACATAATAGTTGAGAAATGTATGATCGAGTCAACCCTGCATTGAGCAGACAGACATGGGAGCAGAATTAAGCTCACCATTCAGTTTTACATTTAGGGTTGCAATCCAATGCTTAGCCACATGACCTCATCACTTTGCTAACAGTTTTTGTAAATAGTTCTATTATACTTATTTGTAACTAGAGACTCTTTCCATACCTATATAAAACTGGCTAAGGCTTTAAACCCTCTTATTGCCATCACATTCTATAAACAAGAAGGTTTTACAGGTGGCAAATGTGACTACCCCAGAAAACATCCTCAGCACAAATAAGAATGAATTTGGAAACCTGGTAGCTGTTTCCCCCTCTCTTCCATCCACTAAAGCCAGTTAAACTTTTCCTCTGTAAATAGGTTATCACAACAGATATTTTTATTACCTGTCAACATATAAGTAAAAAATTTAGGCAACAGTCTTTTAGAAATTGCTACAAATGAGAAAACGTTCAAACAGCAAGTTCAGTCATAGCAAATTCTACACTTTAATAGTTTCAATACTTCTTGAGAGAAGAGGAAAATCCACTTTGCTGCAAAAAGCAAAGTAAAATCATGTGTATATATTTTTAAAGATCATCACAGCCTAATTAAGTCCCCCTCTAAGAGTGGATTTTTCTTGATTATTCAGTCCAGATCTACCTTTTTAAGCCAAATTTTTAAAAAGCTCCATACAAACAGTATCATGTTACTGTGAGAATCAGCTCTCCACATCCTAATGCTCACAACAGGGACCACAACAAATATAAATAGCTTAGACTACTGACACACCAGAGGGTGGAACTACACATAAACAGATTTAACAGAGCCCACATTAAGAACCACAAGCATTGAATTAATAACTGCTCTAGTAGGAGTCCAGCTAGGCTTTTATACCTGAAGGACAAACAGCAGAGCTTTGTTTTCCTCCAAGACATTTTATAAAACATGTACCAAGTTAGTAACCACAGACAAAGCAAGCCTTCAAGGCCTGTACCATGGAGTTTTCACAGGATCTGAGAAATTTGACTGGAAACTGAAATAACATCATCAAACATCAAATTTCATTTTCAAGGCTGCAATCCCACTTGGGAACTAACTCTCACCCCATCCCAAGGAACAACTCCATGTTGTTTCTACGCTCAAAGCCAGCTAAGCAGCCCCTCTCTGGCTCTCTCATTGATCATTTATCTGTGTTCAATTTCACAATAAAGTCTTTGGGACCAGTAAAGCTCTAGTGAGAATGGCAATAGGTTCACTGTCAAAGCACAGAAATGCCATTTTCTGGGGAAAAATACAATCCATTGGGCCAGGCATAAGGATATTCCTGAGTTCTCTACACAAACCCAAATTGCAAGGAAACAGATGCTTATACAGGCCAGTGAACATTCTGTACTTGCAAAAAAACATGTAATATTTTTCCCATCTACACAGAGCTCAATGCAATAAGGAACTCTAGTCTTCCAAACACACTTTCTACTGCAGGAGCATTTAAGGCTAAAAAATTTGTCTCAGAAGAACACAAAAAGTTCAGAATATTTGCTACTAATCCACCAGGCAGAAATGATACTGCTTTGTGACTAAAATACTGGCTAAACTCTGTAGCAAGCTGGCATTTCTGGTTCTGCAATTGATTGTGTGTGTGATCTCTAGCAAATTAGTTAAAATCTTTGCAAAGTTTTGAAACTATTGACTCAAAAAAAAGTTATTAACCCTCTACTCTAACCAGCAAATCAATGCAATGAAAGTAACGCAAATTCCACCCCTGGACAATCATTTCAAAGCTTGCAGGGCAGAATACACATTTACTATTTGTCAGTTTGATGACACAGTTGTCAATCTAGGGAGGAAGATCAGAACTTGTCCTTGATGTTAATGCACGAAGATGTATTAAAATCTTCCTTCAGAAGTTTTCTAACAGTGGAAAAGTGCCCTTAAATAGTAAAAAGCCATAAGCATATACAGCCTTATGAGTGCTAAGTATTAAGAAGTATTCATTTTCAAGGTCAATATTCTACTTATCCCAGGATGACTCACAAAAGGGTAATCAGCCAAAAATATTTCAATTTACACCCCACTTTTATTCGTGTAGCAGTGACAAGCTGTTCCATTATCTGTGGTCCACAGTGCTTCCAAATTCTGTCATAGATGCAGTAAAGCAAGACTGACAGCTATGTTCTGCCTACAGAATATACATCTTGAGGGGAGGACAGAAATTCTGTTACAGGTACTAAAACTAGAAACAAAACAGGTGTGTTTACAACTCCTGATACTAAGGTTACTTAGCATAATATGACCTAAGAGCAATAGTTTCTGACCAAAAAATATTTTCATACTTTCAGAGCCCTATTCTTCCCTTTCAGAGGGAAACAGCCTTATTCAATTTCTACAGTGGAAAGGAACATTTTTACCACAGTCATTTCTTGGACTTGTGCTAAAGAAACACATGCTAAAGCAGTATCATTTTATTCAGTTTTATACATTAAAGGGCACATTTCTTCCTATTTTTTTCCCTCCTTTTGGTTATTCATTTTTAGGATGCAAAGGAAGATGTTTCTAAGACACCATCAGAACAATGCTCAATATCTTAAACTACTGAGGAAGAGAAAGTCCTTTTTTATACATGCAAGGAAGATGCACAGTTTGAATCACAATATTCTCCAACAGAAGACACCAAGGTACAATTTCCAACAAAAAAACTGATAGAGATATTACACAAAACCCCATATAGTTAACATAAAATTTGGCAAAAGACCTTGAAAATTACGCAATGCTAAACATCTCACTACAGGCTTAAAAAACTCAGACAACTTATATGAACAGACCAGTAAGAAATAAAAAAATCTGGTTTTTACAGTCCAGATTTCTAACTTAAACAGAGATCAAAACACAAGAGATGGTTCACACAATATTACGTTATGCATTGAAGGCAGTTTCATTTAAGTTAGTCTGTTAAATCCATTAAGTTCATTTTAACCATTAATTCCTTACATTTGTGAAACTTGAAGCTGTGTACTTCACAGATCTAAAATCTGACATAGACCTATTTAATCACTGCAATCAGGCATATGAAACTCTTTTTCCAAGTCTGAAGTATACTCCAGTGTATTCTACAAAGTCCTTTCAGTAAAGGCTATGTGATGCATATTACAATTAGAAAATATATTCATATTTCACCAGCCTTTGCATATGTTTTTTTAAAAATTCAATTGCTTGAAGAATGGTGCCAGAACTTGCAAATATAGCCCAAGGCATGATCTTTTCAGCATAATGCTACAGCAGTTGGAAATACAGAGTAAGAATTACCCACTTGCTAATTTCATCTAATTTAATAAATATTTGTTTAATTTGTTCTCCTAATGTAACAAGACATATGAGGTACACTTCAGTATGCAGCTGTCCATAGAAAAAAAGAGATTTCTGTAAGAATATGTATCCATGCAGACCTTTCATTGACACACCACCAACAGAATTCATTCTTCACCCCGTCAGGAATGTTGACCTTCACTGTCAGGATCTTCAGATTTTCCCCTCGGTTAATGGCCAGAATCTGAGTGCAAACATAAATGGCAGAGACAGATGACACACAAAATATCCAAAAGATAAACTTATCAACATTTGTGTACGCGCTTGCTTGACATTCTGTAGCAAATCAGGATGGTGGTACAGTAAATCAGTTCACCAAGTACTAGCATGTACAGATAACATCCACAATTTAAACACAGATTAAATCATGCCATGGCATAACGAATATCACATTTTTCCTCAAGTCTGCAATCTCAGGATCCAGTTAAATCTTAAACACACTTGTATTATAAGATAGCATGAATTTTGGTGGTGGAATAATCTTATTCAATAACTCAAAACTCAAGAAATTAATTGAAAAGTGATTCCAATCAGAACTAGACATCAAAAATGGAAAGTTATTCCTATGCTTCAGACTCCATTTTTCTTCCCACTATTAATCCAAATTTAAAATTAATTATGAATCACAACTTGTGACACAAAGGTGCTCAGCTTAATTTGAAGGAGGACGAATTTAGTTATTCATGCCTAGTTCACAAATAGCAGACAAGGATGCAAACACTCACTCTCTTTACATTAACACTCCAGCCTTAAACTATATGCATGTACTTCTGACAGAGTCTAATGTCTATAACTGCACAATCACGATCTAAAGCTAAATTTGGTTGCATACGTGCTACCTGCACACACAGTTCAATTTTAAATATAAGTCTGTGACTCTACACTTAAAACCAGAATCACAACACAAATGGTGGATCCTGGAGGATTCTGCTGGCTATCTCCTAGTCTAATCTCACTATGAAGACACTGAATGTTCACCTTAATACTAAGAAAACTCACTGACCAGCAGATTTTAGAAACAGAATAATAGTCCAAAGCAAATAAAATCCACATCTTTAGATTCTATTTTTCCTTCCAAAGTATTTTAAAGTAGAGAAATACCAAAAAAAAAAGAGACCTGCTCAAAGCTGACATTCCTGTATGACTATACATGTTGCTGTATGTAGCAGGCCCTGAGCACTGTCACAACAGAGCATTCTGTGTCAATCATGAACTTTAATTCAATCACTAGCTAACTCAGACATGTCACATATGTTAAATACAATGGTTTAAAATGACTCCAGGACATAGTACCAATTTATATTCCTCAGTCTTACTGCTCCTGTGACATACTAGGCCTGACATATCATTGAACAACAAAGCTAATAATAAAGATTGCATGTGAAATCTTATAGCATCTGGTACCTTGACTGCCAAAGCAAATGTTTTCACGTAGAAATTAGAAAGACACATTTTAACAAATCAAATGCTTTTGCGCTTATTCTGATTTTATTTTTCATAAAGAGAGAAAGCTAAATGTCAAGTTAAAATGAAATCAAAGTGATGCTCACAACAGAAAATGTATGTGATAGAATTATAATGTCATCATTCAGCATGCTGTCAGCAGGGTCAATATTTGCATCACATTTTGTTTCCTGGCACTCCATCTGCAGAATGTGTCAGTCACCTGAACTTAAACCAGCTGTTAATGTAGTCACTAATATTATTTATATTTTTTAATCTCAAACAATCTGCCTATCCTGTTCTACGTGATGCATTCAGAGAAGAATTATCATCCAATAAATGCTCAATTAAGAACGGAATTACTCAATTTCTCCTTCTAATATAATAAAGCTCTTTGTGTTTAGCTTGTTTTTTTAAGTAACAGGTCAAAATCTGGCTATTCTAGTCACAAAGCAGTCTTCACTTCTGGAAAAAGACTGTTTTTATATGAGACTGGAACAGATCCAGTGCAAGGGTTGTTAGAAACAGCACACATTTTTCAGAGAAAGCAAGAACAACAATATGATCCAGTCACAAGATTCATCAAACCTTATTCTGTTTATCATAAAAATACAACATGCTTCATATTACACAGCTCTCTTCTATGTTGCATATTGACTTAAACTCATAGAGTAAGTTCTGTATACTTTGCCAAGGACTTTAATTTCCAATTCCTTTTTAAGTATGAGATTGAAAATAGAGCACTTGCCTCAAATGCTACATTTTATTATTTTCCTCCCACTATTTCAGTCATCTCCAAATACAAGAAAGTAACCTCAAGACGTACACAAATACTGAACTGTTTACAATTAATCAAAAATTCAAATAAACTATTGAAATTTTTTTTCCTTAGTTTTGACAGCGTTGGCATTGCTTCTCAGCTATGTCCTAAGAGAGTCTAGTCAGGTTGTCCTTGTTGCCAAAGGAAGAAGCTGTGACTGAACCTCCCGCTAGCAAAACGTTCCAATTGGAAACACCCACAGGGTATCTGACCATGCTAAAACCTGGAGTCAGCTTTTAAAGCCCATTAAAGCAACAAAGTTTTTTTCCTCATTACAGTTTCAGTATTTTAACTTTTTCAAACAACCTGACTCCACACCAGTCCTGATTACTTCAGGACTCAAACAAGACAAAATGACGTGTCTCAGCAGGCAAAATGACAGTGGCACAGGAAGTAACCCAGACCTACAGCAGAGCCAAGCTGCAGCACAGCTTACTGCACAGCACTTCAACTCACTGCAACAAATGCTGCAAGGCACACTCACAGCTGCCAGGGATTTGGACATAAAGGCACAGCTTGTTTCCCTACAGGTAACACGGCAGGCTACTGTGCACCCCCTATACTCACATCTAAACCAGAGCAGAGTTAGGGTTGTATCCAGGTCTTTAAGATCACTTGCACCTCCATACTCAGGTGATGACAAGTTTCAGTGCAGTATTTTAAGGAATCTCGTGTTTGCAACTCTGAAAAGAGGTGATTTAAAGCTGACTTTTGTCTCTACCTAAAGGCATTCAGAACACTTGTCTAAGTGCAGCCATGATAGCAACAGAGAAGATCTTCAAAGCAGTAAGTTTTACAACTCTTCTTCAAACACACCTATTTAACCTGAAGTTCTGGGGGATTAGTAAATTATATAAATCATTCTGAGGTTCAGGCTTTCCTGTATCTTTTTCAGGTATAAGCTTCTTTTAATAACCTTGAATCAAACCAGAGAATTCATTCTCTTAAGGACATCTTGAACTCTATTCTTAAAGAACATATTTTACCAGTTTTTAAATGCACAAAGGAACTAGCTCTTCACAGTCTTAGGTGAAGGAAAAAAGAAAGACTTTTAGGTATTGAAAAGGATGGTCATAATCCAAGAAAATAAAGATAAAAAATGGCAATTTGCATCAGTAGTGGAATAAGGTCAAGTAACAAAGAAAATGAAGATGAGAAAGACTTTCAAAAGTACAATACCATGGTTTAAACTTAATGAAGAAATGGCAGATAAAGAAAAAAAAATTCTCTCTTTATTTCATTATCAAAACACAAAAGAAAGAAAGACAGAAACCAAAAAATTAAGAAAGAACCCAAGAACCAAAAACAGACATGAAAAGTTACAGGGTATTTACAAAACAGCCAATTTTACATATTAGAAACTATGATGAAAGACAGCACCTAAGTGTGCAAAACCATCCCGTGATTACAGGACTGCCAGCTGCAAAATCAGTGCCTATTACTTGTCTGAAGAGCCAGAATGGGTAAAGAAAGAGGTATTCAGGTTAGCACCAGACACAGGGGAGAATAAACCAAAGCAGATCGAGCTCATCTTAACATCAAATGGACAAACTAAGGACACATCCTGGATAAAAAACAGTGCAGCCACAAAATCAAAGTGTTGACTCGGTTTGGGAAATAGTTTTTAACCCTTGCTGTAGCTAAGCAACAGTTTTCCTTAAGAAAAAAAAAAAAAAATAAAAGGATGCCCTGGGCAAGAACTAAATCATACCATCATCCCAGGAAACACTTATGCAACATGCACTGAGTGAACATCATGGTATTCACCACTGTGAGTGCAGATAAAACCAAACAGTCTGCCAGCTCAAGAATTCCTTAAACAAAAAAGAACACAAAAGAATCCATACATCAGAACATGATGAATCCACCAATCTTTGTCAATGTCAGCACAGTAGTCAATAGATTGCTCTATCAACTTTCCTAGACCCTTTAGAAGCAACTTTTCACCAAATAACTATCAATGTAAGTAAAGTAAAAGGTCATACTTATTATGAAGAAAAAACCACAGGTTCTTCTTCAAGTATCTATGCAAGACCAGCCTATTGAAATCAACAGTAGCTATTTAGTCTTTCACCTTTCATCTTGGAAGGGGAGAAAACAGCTTAAAAGTTAGCCTGTCCATGTTGTGAATTTTTTTCTGGCAATAAATTAATCCTTTATTAATTCAAAATACACTGGTTTAATACAGAAAGCACTGAAAAAAACCAGAGCATATCAGAGCCTTCTAAAGGAAAAGACATTTCTAGTTAGAAGCATCTAAGTGGTCTGTCTTCTGTGATATTATGGTTTGGAATTTTTGTTTCTTTTTTTAACTGGTTTTTGTTGGGTTTGTTTCAGTTTTTTAAGCTACATGGTTGCAAATAAAACAAGCAGCAATTAACTTGGTGATTAGTTATGAATTAGTGCAGAGGTCTTGACAGTTGCATTGAGTGCATCTCACTTCTGCCTTTGACCTTCAGTAGCAGGGGTAGCCTAGCTGTCATCAGCTAGTAAGTTTGCTTCAGCCCTCCTTTATTTAGTTATGTAAGTCTAAGCTTAGGGCTTAGGATGCCCGAAGATGCTTCACAAAAGGGAAAAATGATGACTTGCAAAACAGACCCATTTTTGGGGTACTGAAAAGCAGTCCTTTGTTCTGTTTCTTAAAACAGAGCTCAAGAGCTTATTTCTGCATTTCATTAATTGGAAAGACTCTACTACTCCTGATGACTGTAAAGAAAAAATCTTTAGAATTAGTTTTAAGCAACAATATTGAAAAACAAAGCAACATTTACTACAGTTAAAATTCTGAGAAAAAAAATTTCAAGTTGTACCTGATGATGCTGAATATTCTTTATATTACAAGAAAACTCGTGGTACAGTTGGAATTTATCGATATCTTTTTCATTTCCATTTTTGGACGACACTTTTGCCAATGTTGACTGGATGGAAATGTACCTTTTCTGGCATCTGAATAGAAAAAAAAATAGATCTAAGGTATTTTAGCATGAAACTTGTAACAAGCCATTACAGCACAGATCAAATAAAAATGAAGTCTGCTCAATTACAAGTGATGTTAACTCTAATTACCTGCACAACTGGATGACATAACTTCATACTGAGGTGATATAATGTGTACTGACTGTAACATACCAAGAGAAGACATTCAAGCAGAAAAAGCTGATCACAATCCTCCTCCTCAAGGAAATGGAGGCTCAAAAGCCACCACCTGCACTTAAGTTATGGGTTTCAATTTCACACAACAAATTTGGGGAAGTTGCAAAAAAAAAATAAAAAAATAAGACAGTCAATCCTGAATGCTCCTCATGATTATCATACATACAGCACACTTCAGATGAACAGGATTCATCTGTCAAGCACTGAGTATTCAACTAAGGAACTTCCAGTGGTCAAAATAATGAAAGTGACAGTCAGGTAGTGACAGCATATCCCTTACAAAACAACCACCTTCATTGCAATTATCACATTGCTGATTCAAAGCAACTCTGCATGCTCCTAAAGGTGGTGGATATTCTTTGATAACTTTCTTCTCTGCCCCAGATGGCACACAGCAGAAAAAATAAAATAACAAGTGACTACTGGCCTGTCACAGTACCTCCCCAAACATGACAACACTAAAATCAGTAACGTAAGAAAATTTCAATTCAGCTAACATAATTAAAGGATCAGTAAGTCCTGCTTTAGAAACAGTCATATTTGTTTGGCCTATTGGCTACCAATGCCAAAATCAATCATCACTGCACACTAGTTACACTGACTGGTGTCAAGTCAGCTATTGGAGCAAGAGCTTAAGCAGATTCACTCCTGAAGAGTTACAGCTTGAAGAAAGTGCAAGGAAGGAATACTCCCTTATGGCTCACTAACTGCACGGGAGATCTGCTACACCCAGGGCAGAGCACAGAGCTTTTCATTCTCGGGGACTTACAGCACCATGCCACGTTCACAGCAGATCTCTACTGCACTGACAGCCAGACAGGCAGAATGGTTAATGAATGTACACACAGGAACAGCCCTAAATCCATCCCACTGCAACACCGTTCTCACATCATTAAGGAAAAGTCCTCTATCTGCCACTCGGAGACTGCATTTTAAGCAAGAAAGTTTAGACAGTAAGAATGAAACTTACAATTTCCTGATAAAATCCAGTGTATCTTTATCTTTAGCAAAGATGTCTGCTAAAATGTGCTGCACTCCAGCCTCTACTTCCTGGATATTTGCAAGCCCTTAGAAGAAAAATAATTATAGAATCACTATAATACACAGTTAATAATTACAGAAAAAAACTAATAAAATTACTTTACACAACTGCACAAGCACTAAGAAAATATATGCAAGCTGAAAGGAAACTGATTAAAGGTATCTGACTGACTTGCAAAGTTTTAAAAGAATCCTAATTAATTTAAAATTTTTTTATCAACTAAAGCTTCCCTTCCAAAACATCTAAAACTATATTTTAATGAGCCTGAAGTGACCAATGCATTATCATAAGTCAAAATTATATTAAAATTAGAGAAAAATATGTTTTTACTTTGATGCTAACAGATCTTGACATTTGTGATTTAAATAGTACAACAGTAAAATTGGATATGTAAATATAATTCTTTAAAAAATTAAATATAATTTTTGAGGTTTTAATAAAATAAGCAACTGCAGCAGAAGTCTACTATTTTGCTATAGGTATGAAAACTGCCTAAAATTCTTTGCAGGTAATCCTGTCTTTTCTCTGAGGAATAGTTTTGTATTTCCACTGTATTGCAGCAGGAGTTTGCACAACACTTTTGAGGTCAGGGTACCATCAGCCTCTAGTATGACACACTGAAGTTATAAAATATCTTCAAAGACATGAAGTTATAAATGTCTTCTTATCTCTGGAGAGATAACAGAATCATTCAGTTAATTTCCAACACTCAGCATCCCTTCTTTCCTTCAAATGGCCAGAAAAGGAAGCATGTAATTCTTCTTAGCAAAGGGATTGAATTAGACCAGAAGCAGAGATAACAAAATAAAACAGACATCTTGTATTTTAATTCAATATATATCTATCTCTGCTTCTAGCAAGTCAGTAATGAATGCTTCAGAGCAAACAGCAAGAATCCAAGAGCTGGCAGATGCAGCATTAACTGTCTCTTGCAACACAAGAGATAATGCTGCTGTTGACTCTGCTGCCACGTGGACAGCTTTATTTACACCATTTTAACAGCTTGCACAGCTCCATCTACTCATTGAACCCAGAATCCTGCCTCTGATCAGGCAGTAAAGTTACACGCTATAAAAAAAATTATCTTGTCCCTTTTTAAGACGAGGAAGCTAAACTTACCTGCCAGAAAGAAAAAAAAAGGTGAGAATAATAACTTATTATTAAGTCCTTAAACATATCAGAAGTTGTAAATTTTGCATCCTTAGATCTATGAGTCACTGTTTCTTATGGTAGAAGTGATGTCAGAACACAAAGCTAAGGGAATTTGAAGACATGAATCATACTGAACATGGACTGAGACACTCAAGCAGATTTGAACGAGATAGCCCAAAGAATTCAGAATTTGAGAGATAATCAAAAAGTTCCCATTCAACAAGCACCACTCACACAGGTACTTTACTGTGTCCACCAGCACGTGCTTGTGTAATTAGAGAAATTTTTGACCATGTATACAACCGAAAAAGAACAAAGCTTTCTGGTTGGCCTGTTTCTTGAACTTTCAAATGTCAGGCCTTGAAACATAAACTGCTGTTTTTATTTCAGTTTATTTTTAGGATAAGTTGAAAAACACTGAGAATTTAAAAGCACCAAATATAAAGACTTGATAAAAACTTTTCTGCACTGCAAGTGGCTCATAACTTAAAAAAAAAAATTCTCTGATCTCTCAAGTTGTGTATAAGCTGTCAAACTGTCTCCCAAGGTGATAGAAGTGACCCAGTTCATAGATGTATATAACTTCTGATGTTTTTCAAAGGCAGACCATTATAAACCTAAGCAGCATTATTTTTAGCACAGAATTAAAAATAGGCGTACTGGTTTTCAAAAACTCATGTTCATGGTGCAACAAATAGCACTTCCTTTTGAATATACTCTAAATAATTTATCTGAACTTTCACAGTGAAGATTTTCTTTTGGCTCGTTAGACTGCACCAGAATAGGCAGATATATGGCTGCAAAACGCTGCTGTAGGAAGTAATGACATATGTTAAAATGCAGTAATATAATAGCCAGAATTGATTTTCATTGTAAAATTAGCAGAATTTTATAAGTAACATTTAAATAAACAGAAGTGAGAAAAGTAAGAGTCAGCCTTACTAAGGAGGCTCAGTACCTTTATGCTGAAATTCAAAAAGTATGTGTTGGGACAGGGAAGAATGGAAGTACATCTCTATTTTACCATCATACAGAAGGCTGCAGTCATCTTCATATTTTATTGTCAGAGATTGCCCCCTACAGATCCACCTATAACTACATTCACAAAGACACAATTCTATATATGTCTATATATGACAATCATGTTGTTAAAAGTTCTTGCTCAAGTTTCAGAAATTACGTCTTCTTCAATCCCTACTGTCATTCAGACACAAACTCTCCTGCTCACTCCCAATCCCCTAGGCCAGTTTTTATTAAGATATGCTTTGCAGGGTGACATTTCCTTCAGTACAGAGTATGAGCCTAAGCCTCTTGTACAATCAGCATTGAATTTTCAGGAAACAATTCAAGTAGAACAATGGAAAGGTCTCAGGTGCATGGTGTGGTTCCCTCTCTCTTACCAGTAAATACAGATGTCAACTATAAGGCCTCCAGATTTATCTAATTTCTATGCCATAATCATTACTCTTTACAATACAAAGAGAGAGCAAAGGTTGGAGAGTCATTAAATGTGTTAGCATGTTACCACACGTTGCTAACTTAACTTCCAGCAACATCAAAACAATCCAAGTAATTTCCCTTTTCAAATCTTTTCAGACATTTAGAACATTACTGCTCAAAGAAGCAGGCTACTTACCTTTGGTATTGGGTCTAATGTAAGAAAAGAGATTGAGTTCCACAGGATTCTGCAGCAGGGAGAGAGCAGCAGGTTCTAATCCCAACTGCTTGGCCCTCTGGGCTTTGGTGCCTTTACTCCCACTTTTATAAGGCGCAGACTTGTAACAAAAAGAACAAACGAAACAAAACCAGTCATTAAAAAGCAGGGAAGTATTTCATTCAGGCTATGCACTTGACATTATGCACTAGTTAGTTAGCAAGATTATATGTGAACTAATGTTGATCTGAAAAAGACTATAGTACTGACCACATGGTCTAATTCTTCCAAAGTTCTGCAATTTAGCAATCCTTTTAAAAGAGAACTGGATAACTTTCCTTCTTTCTTCAACTTCTGTATCATCGTATGTGTCTTCCTTGCAACAGTACTAAAATGTAAGAGATTAATGTTAACTGCCACATTTCACAGTGAATTAAAATGTCTATTGTGACCTTGTCTATTACACTGCTGAAACTCTCTGAAAATTGTATCTCATGTTAATCTTCAACAAACCAAGCTGATAATTCAGAAGCTATTTTTCTAACCATTTTTCTCTCTTCAGTTAGTTCAAAACTATATCAAAATATCCTGTGGTAGCTTTAAGAAAAATCAAGTAACACTGATAGTCATTAGTGCTCCACACATTTCTGTAATATTACTGGCCTGGAAGCCAAATAAAAGGGGCCTAGAATAAATCCACTCTGATGAGCTCTTACAGACGCAATTCATATCAAGCTAGTCCTGCAGCATCAAGTACAGGCCACCAGATCTAAACTCTTAGGTCTTCAGGAAGAAACATGGGAGCAAACACAAACAGCAGAGGTATTTTGTTACTACTTAATTACTTGTTCAGACGAGCACTGTCTCAGGCCACCTTCCTTCCTTGGCAAGAATCTCTTGGTCGGGGTTAGCAGGGAGTATAAGGAGGAGGACACTAAGCTGACAGAACAGCTGACCAGTCTGTTCCCTTGCCCTCTCAAGAACACAGAGCCACAAAAGCAAGATGGAATGAAAGCAGTCTCATCCATTGCCACAACAAGCTTTGCTGATCATTTCTTTCCTGCAGTGATCTGGGATAGTTTAACCTCATCTCCTGGTACACTCCAACCTAAGAAGGACTCTTCACTAGAAGCTTCCCTGATCCAAGCAGGGAACCAAGGGGTTCTTAGTGATTCTTTTTCTAAGAGTGGAGCTTTCATCTCATCAAGCTACCTATTTCCAGCAACTATTAACCAGTCTTTTAGCACAAGTTTTTCTGTGCAGTTCTAATAAACGGCAAAGAAATACGGATGCTAGCTTTTCTTTGGCCACTAGCAACTCTAGACTTCTTGTTATTTAGAGAAAAAAAAAACTAAAAACAAACCCCAACCTCCCAAAAAAAACAACAAAACCCCAGACAGTATTAAGCATAATTACCTCAGTTTAAAACTTTTTTCTTTACTAGTTTCTTTACAGCTGTAGTGTGCACAAGGAGGTAAAACAAGGGACACAGGAGCAGCAGCCAGTTGTTACTCACCTCCGACCCACACCCCTCCTTGTGCTGTTGGCTCACTCACCGTAGCTCTTCCAATGCGTGCTGCACTTCCCGCAAGGCATCGGCCTCCAGGTTATTGATGAGCTCTTTTCGGTACCGAGCAATAAAAGGAATCGTGTTTTCTTCTTCAAAGAGCCGAAGTAAGTTTGCACATACCCACGGTTCAACATTTGTTATTTCTGACAAGGCCTGTCAAAGGAGAGAAAAAACCCAAACACGACAACCAAACACGTTTAAGAGGGATGGTAGATTGCTTTAAACAACTTCTCATTCAACATTCAAAACCATTTCCAGAACATTTCACTGGCCAGCAGAGACTACTGTCCTCCCCAAGACAGGATGTCACACTTCTCATGCATCCAGCGACAACACCCAGTATTCCAGCAGGACATGCAGCAACCAATGTTCCTAGAAACTTGTAACCACTGTAAAAAACGCAGGAAGCAGTGCCTCTTGGGAAAAAAAAATAAAAAAACAAGGAAGAAAAAAAATCATACCAAAATTATAAAACAAAACAAAGACCATAAACTGTACACAGCAACCCAGAAAACTTGGGAGTTTTTTTTTAAGCCAACACTGACATACCTCATGGTTCAGCTAAACAAACAAAACCGACAAAGCCAGAGCTGATCCAAATCCCACTCAACCAATAACAGGAAACTAGCAATACTACTGACAGTTTCAAGACAAACCAAGCCTTGCAAAGTTAAACATGATTTTGTACAAATTGAGCTTTCTAAAGTTATAGTGTACCAATATGGAATAACTAACACCCTATACAAGCAGCTTATCTTAGTAACATTTTAACTATCACAATTTGCTCACAAATTCACTACACTACACTTGACTACAGTAGGTACTGTAAAAGGCTGATACAAAAGCCTTCCAAAAGTTTCATTCTGAAGCCTAAAAATATAACAACACCTGCACAATTATATTCACACCTTCTAGAGCACACACAAAGATCAAATTCTACATATGTATTTCCGGGAATATGTGAGAAAACCCACAAAATTTTACAGCTTTCTTAAGCAGACTGTACTAAGGATGACGAATACAGTATGTCCTATCCATTCCCATTCTATTCATATTAAAATCTTCCATGATCACACCCTGGCTTCCAGTACAAGATCTATGCTAAAACTGCCTCCACCTGAATGGCTTCAAAATTAAAATCCTACAAAAACATCTACCTTGTTGTCACCGCTGTGCAAGGAATGCAAATCTCCTTCCTGATGGAACTATAAATTGATAAACACTCTCAAATGGGTCTCTACAACTAAATGATCCACACTGACTAAATCTTAAATTATAAAACTGCCCACAAACATCCCAAATCTGTCAGCATCCTTTCCTGTGGGAGTTTCAGTTGTGTATTTCAACAAAAAAACCCATGCATTCATACAAGAGAATCACACAAACTGTTACAGGCAAGCTTCGTACTAAGGACACCTGAAGTCACAGATTCCAGAATGATGTCAAAGTTTGAAGTTTTAACAGTTACCAGCCAACATCTATATTTATATACATTTCTGACAACCCAAGCAGAGGTTAAATTACAACTTCAAATTGCATGTTAAAATTCTAAGTGCTAATTATGCAGGAAATAGTTTCATTAGTAGCTTGGAAAAGGAAAAGATCTCATACCTGTACAATATCCCAGTTCATTTCAAATTCTTCTTTTATTTTGTTGCCTCCCAGATTTTTAACTGGCTTTCCTTCAGGACATGCATTCAACTTCATCTTTTTAGAAGGTGGTTCATCAAATGCAAACTCCTCCTCACATTTCTCTTGTTTCACTACAGAAACACTTGTTGAGGGTTTTTCATTACTCACTAAACTGTTTTGGTTATTCTCTTGGAATGAATTTATTTCCATTTTCTTAGGCACTTGTGGCATTCGATTTAAACTTTTCGATTTAGTGTCTGCATTTTCTTCCTTAGGTTTTAGAAGCTGCATTTTACTATCTTCTGCAGGTGCAATAGGCAAGGATACATCCTGACAAAAAAGACATTAAAACCATATTAAGCACGGACTGTTACAAAATGGTTCAACATTTCATTTAAACTCTAAAAAGACTTGCTACTAGACATCATTTTCCCAAGTAATGTCTCTGGAAGGAAAACACCAATCCAGAAATCAAGCAACCTGAAATGTATCTTGCATGGATGAGACAATATAAATACAGACAGCAGACCTCTGATTTAGATCAAATAAAATTATTCTGCAAAGAATTTAATAGGACCTTCCTTCAGAAGACACTGACCTACAATCTTTGCCTCCATTCATGTCAACAAAACAGGAAACAGCATGACAGGGAAGCACTTCTGAGGTGTTAGGTTCCCATGGGAACTGGAACTGAGATCTGGTCTGCCAAGACCCAGTTTAACCTCGGACAAGCTACACATTCTTTACTGACTTTCCTCAGAGATCATCTTCAGAAGTCAGAAGGACTGGGTTCTGTCATGATGTGATCTCAGATGTTAATAGTTGACCCAAGTATCTAATTTTCAACACAACTGCATTTTATATTAATAATAATAAAACTGCAATCCTTACTGGGTTGAACAGCCATGCAAGGAAATGTAAGCACAGGCTGCCTTTTTGCGTGGTACCCAGACAGTGAAAAGGTAGAAGACATCAAAGGTGCAATACCAAAACTGGAGATACTTAACAAAGAACAGAGGCATTTATTTATTTACACTGTCAAAAGATCTCCAGGGAAAACCACATCCTATTATCATTGGCCAAAATTTTCAAGGAGGCTCCTCAGCTCATGGACACTTGAATACAAAACAAAGCCACGTTTATCCAAAATACTGAACATTCACAGGAACACTGGAATTGTACCAGCTGATGAGAATCAGGCAACCAGAGTCGGAAAAACTGTTCATGTTACTTCCCAAGAGCAATAATTAAATGTCTCTTGCTTATAGACACTCACCATTTCCTCTTTTATTGCTACTTTCTTGACCATTTTCCTGGCCACAGTTGACCGCAGAGCAGCAGCTTTTTTAGTTTTTGCCTCAGTTTTCTTTGGCAAATGAGGTTTCCTGGCCACTTTGCTTTTTGGCTCCCATTCCTCCTCCTCTTCCTCCTCTGATTCAGAGGTCCTGAAAAACAAATGAATCAACAATATTGCTTATGAGAAAAATAAAAAAAAAAATACATAAGCAAGCTGGTCTGAGTAGTTTTTGGCATGAAAGAAAGTGAACAGGAAAAATTATCAGAAAGATAGAGAGACTCAACAGGTCTTTCACACTGCTGCAGAGCTAATGGCTTAAACAATCTACCAATTTTTATGATGTATACACGCATCATATACATGATTCTGTTTGGACAATGGGCAATTTGCTTTGATTCTATCTTCTTTTTGAGCATAAAGAAGCTTAAGTAATTTGCATTTTATAATTGAAGTTTTGTGCATGAAAAGATTTTAATCAACTTCTCAAAAACTGAATGTTATTCTTATACAATTCCTCATGCTTAGCATAAACCTTGAAAAAAATCCTAAGGAAAAAAAATGATCTTACGAATTAAGAAATGAAGGTAGGTCTTCTGATGTAGGGGCTTTGGCTACAGATTTCACCCTCCTTGGTAGAGATGACATCTAAAACAGAGGAAAGAAGAGAGAAATATAGCATTTGGTTGAAGCTGTATCCTCTTCAGCTCACTGTCAAATGTGCCCTTATAATGTCTTCAGCAATCACAAAAGTTTCCTCTAGAGCAAGTTAGGTTTCCTCAGTCTCCAAGAATTTAGGCCACAGCAGCACACATTCAACAATCTTTTCAACTGAGCAAACAAACCAGCAATATAACCTCTCAAGCTACACTTTCTTCACATGAGGGTAATTATTTGGCTTGCATGTAAAGCCTTCTGGCAAAAATTATTACAAAATTCAAAAGCATATTTTACCTATATCTGGTATAATTTCCTCATTCTTCATTTTTTTATACCTTGATCTTTGATCCAGCCTTACCACTGCAACAGGAACCTTAAAGCACCATGTTTGCACAATACAAACCAGATAAACATTTTCCAAAGTGCCATTTAACTCAAGGGCAAAACGCCCTTTAATCCAACTTCATTCTGGCTTCTGCTCGAGCACTAGAACACACTTTTTATTAATGGCTTTCAATAAGCTTTCCTTGTAAAGCAGCACAATTTTCAGGTGACAATTTTCAGCACTGCAGTGGAAGGAGCACATCAAAAAGCACCATTTGCTCACTTGCCAAACACCTTCTTGGAGCTACAGTCCTGGTCAGTAACAGGTCAGCATTTCTGTGCTGTTCCATTATGTGACCAGCTGGAACACACATGTACCACAGAAAAACACAAATATCCCAAGAACACAAAAAATATTACTCACCTTATCAGCTTCCCAGGTGCCTTTTCACTGTCAATTCTGAGACACCCCCAAACTCGTCCAGCCACTCTGCTTCTCTGTGTTCCTTTGCTCTTTATACCTGAACCATCATTATCACAGTTCTGAATTAATTACTTATTTTTTCACATTACTTCAGAGCCATGAAAAGAATGTTTCCATTTTTATATTATGCTTCAATATGTGAATGGGAGATAAAAAAAAAAAATTAAACACCATGATTTCCAAAGTTAGGTAACATCCAAGCCAGACAGATCCCTGATCCACTCTTTTGAAGGCACTGGGACACTTCATGCTTCTTTTCAGCTAATCCATGAAGGTTCTGGAGCCTACCCAGAAAAAAGGAAAACCTCATCTGGGAGGTCCTTTTTTCTACTAGTATTTCCCCCCTCACCTCAAGTGGTCGAGGGTTTCAAAATATCTCAACATTTGTGTCGTTACATTAAGTAAGATTATGGCAAGAGTAATGCTCGCTTTATAAAGTTAATTGCATTTCCTGACATCTAATACTGGTGACCTATTTAACTTTCCATATCTGCAGAAGAATAGGAGAGGAGCTCCTTAGTAATTCTCCATAAACAGTCAAGCTGTGGTCAGAAGCCAAAATGCAGATCTACAAATAAAAGCCAATACTGAAAAAGCACATGTAAGACAAATATCAAGCATGAGATATCACAAAGGAAAAAAAGCTAAAAAAAAAATCATATTTCCACTGCAAGGTGGGGCCAAATTATAACCACCTCCCCTTCTCATACTAAATGCAACAAACTAACTGTACTTCATATTTGTAGAAAATAATCTTATAGCTACTACATATATACTTTTTGTTTACAAAAAATAATTTTTAAATTAGAACCCACAAAAGTACTTCTTGTTTAATTTCAAATTGCCAGACAGCTGTCTGCTAAATTTTCCTCCCGATCCGCCTGTGCTGGGGTGTGCAAACACCTACATTTAATGACTAAGAAAAACAGCCCTTCTGTGATTCACTGCAGAGGGGGAGGCAGGGAAGAGGATGAAGAAGAAAAAAGTCTAAATGCCACTGATGATGAGAGATAACTAATACAGAAAATAAGCTTGGAGACAGTTCCTAAAGTGAAGCAGGAAGACTCAAGAAACAGGCAAAGGCAAACACTGTTAAGCTCCACATGGAGCATCTACAGCCCTGAGTGCATCACAAGGCACTCAATACATACTGCCAGCTCCATGCTCCACTTCTGTGGGGATACAGTCCCCCACATCTCCTGCTTCGAGTGTTGAGGGAACTGGGAACAGCTTTATTCACCCTCCCACAGCATGCTGGGATCAAGCCCGTGTGAAGTTGGCCACTTATCTCCTATTATATTTTCCAGATAGACTGGCCTCAGTGGGAAAACTGCCTTTAACACTTCCTTCTCTGTCTGCTCCAGTTAACAATACTCCAAGTGAGAGCTGGTTTCTACCTCGAGGAAAGAAACCTTACATATCCAAAGCCAAAAGAAGAAATCTTCCAAATCCAGAAGAATCCCACAGCTGTAGAAGAGCCAATTACAAAGCTGAAAAATTAAGAGTAACCTATTTATACCAGTCAGGTCATTTTCCTTTCCTGTGTCTGTGTTAGGTTTTGCTGTACCTTATCACAGATGTATCACAGATGTTTACAGTGCTTGTTCACCAGCTTGCCAATTGTCATATTCAACTTAAACAAGATCTGTTCTAGCAGCTCGTCTCACACCTTAGGCTAGTAAACTTCTGGCCAGTAACCATTAGCTAACACACCTTTTCTCATTTTATGTACACTGTCAGCAATCTTTTAATTTCTGACAACGCTGTTCTTTAAGAAAAACAGTTCTTACTTATCTCACCAACAGTATTTTATTTCCATGGCACACAACATGAGCTAGGCCCTGGAAACTTCGGCCTTGCCCACACACTTAAGCTCCTGACTGCTGTTTCATTTCAAATCTGTGTAGAGATTCGTAGATCTTTTGCTTCTGTAAGATAGGCTGAAACCTTAATGCTTAACCTTCACATTAGACCCTTGATCCTCTGTTCAAGGGAATCAAAATTCGCCTGCTTGTCCATGTCCCAAATGGCAGCATGAAGCATCATTGCTTGAAACACACTTATCCATCACTAAAGCCTGGCTTCTTTCTTCTGAGAAGACTCAGCAGTTATGGCATGTTCTTCAAAAGTACTTTCCAGATAAAAATTAAAGACATTCACAGAGTAATCATGCTGTGCACTGAAGAAAAGCTGAAACTATTGAAATCATTGCTATTGTAAATATATCTGCTAGGTCCACTCTCCAAATAAGTTTGGCATCAGTTTTGTTGCCAGTTATTTTGTTCCCACCACCACCACTTCTATCCTCTGCATCCAATGCGGAGCTCCACATCCCAATCTGGATGGCTGCAAACAGTACACTTCTCCCTGCCTGTCAGCTACTCATTAAAATAAGGCTACTGTATTTGGGGTCAGGCCACACAAGGAATAAAGACTGACTAAGCAGTTTTCATCCTTTACTGTACAGAATCTTAATATGGGTATGCACAAAACATACAGCAAGGAATAATCGTTTCTCTGGTCTCTCTCCCCAAATAGGTCTAGGCTGCACACAGAATATAAGTAGAATGAGGTTTTAAAGACCTTATTATGTTAAGGAGCAATCCAAATTTCATTTAGAGACTGCTGTTCTCTTCAATATCCCTACACATGCAAAGGCATAACCTATTAAAAATAAATTTCTTCTTATCTGAATGCCAGTGGCATAAGCAACTGCTTATGCAGAGAAGTTTAATATCAGCTTAAAAGTAATTAGTTTAAAAAAATTCTCACTCCCTATCACCATTTGATCAACCCCTCCCAAAAAAGCCCCCGCACTAGCACATACCTCTTTTAAAATCACATCAGTAGACGACAACTTCCAGATTCAGAAATAACTCTAATAGATTTTCTACCTGAAGGCACAGGATTAAAAAAAAAAAAACCCAAAAAACTCAACAAACAAACAAACAACCCAAAACACACCACCATCACAAATACACTTGGAAATTAATTTCATTTCAGTAACTGCAAAAAGCCTAGTCCAGCTGAAAATCACACAGAAACTTCAGAATCTCTTTTCCAGTTAATCCAAATCAATACATTCCTTACAAAACAGGAGCTCTATGCAGGAAGCTCCTCCAACTTTGCTCTACAGCCTCTGCTTTTCTATCACAAATAAACCAGGAAGAATAATAGAACTTTGCATTTTAGCTTCTTCTTACATCTAACAATACTAAACCAAATCAGCATAACATGAAGCAACTGGTGCCAAACAAAAAGAGCACTATAGGAATCTCATATGACAAGGTACTTTTGGACCAGTCTTAGTAGAAGCAGAATGGCCGACTTCAATAATTATAACGAGACTCTCAACAGGTTGATTTTGCTTGTCATTTTAACACACTTCTACTGCAATAACATTTTAAGGAAAAGAAAAATCAAAATGTGAGCATACAGTCAGCAACAAGGGGGAAAGATGCTATGCAGATCAATGGTAGGGATATGTATGGAAATCTTTCTGTCTCTCCAGGTTTTTATCCTGGTGAGATAAGTCAGCTGAGTTGTACTTCAAAATATAAATCCAACTCACTGTAATCCTCTTGAAGTTAAAACCTTGGAGAACTCCCAGAAACTTCTGCTCAGAGAAGCTAGTGCAGATTTCCGAGGACTCTTCCTGCACAAAGCCAGTCAGGCCTGCCTGAGGAAGGAATTGCAGACACAATTTAGGAGCCTCCAGCACTAACTGGAAAATTAGAACCACAAAGAAACAGACATACAGGGTACACACATACACCGAAACAGTCCCCAAAGCTAATCAGAAAGGAAAAGGTCTAAGAACACCATCTGTTCTTACTTACAACTGTTTTTACTTACAGAAGTACCCTCAAAAAGACCAAGCACAAAGACTGTGCCCCTACAAGGTGCAATCTTGCCTATGATAGGGTACCACTGAGGGAAAGGAACAACCCATATTATGCAGCACCCTGTACATGAATCAGAAGAGGTCTGCTCAAGAAAGGGAGGATAAACACTTTTCACACTTTTCGTGCATTTTCCTTAATGCACTTATCTCAAACCACCTATGAGACATTATCCAAAATGAGGGGATACTGCTCCTGATGCAGCAACATGCAGCTACATCATGTGCAGTTATTCCTTTCTCCAGTCCAGCAAACCAGCCCCACAGAAACACATCCATCCTGGTTCATTAAACGGGATGTCTTCTCTCCCAAAGGGATATGGGAGACACACATCTCTTCTGCATGGCTACAGCCACAGCAGAGTTTATCACACCAAAACACTCATTTTGGAGGCGTGGAGGTACAAGGGGAGTTGAGAGCAAAGCACTGTTTGTTGCTTGGTGAGTCACTACCACCCCAAATCACTGCTTCTCAGTCCAGAAAGGGGACCGAGATGAAAATACACTTCATGTACTTCAAAGCCTTATTCTCTCCCTGGCGACACCCTGATTTATTCAGATATGCTGACAGCGTTCGAGAGGAGGGCTAACAGAGCTAAAGGCCACCCTCGCATCCTGGGAAAGGCATCAGCTCCGTGGGAGAACCACGGGAAGGAGCCACCTCTCCATCGCTTTCCTGTCCCTTCCAGCTGTCCCGCCCCAGCCCAGACCGGGGTGCCCGCCCGCACCCGCGGTGCCGCTCACCCCCTCGCAGGGTTCGGGCACCTCTGTCCCGGGGCAGAGGGGGTGGCAATGGGGACAAGAACAGGCTCGTTTCCTCCGGAACAACCGAGACAAGAGAGAACCCCTCGCTCGCCGGGCGCTGCGGCGTGGCACGGAGGGCGCCGGGGCCAGCACGGCGCCGCTGCCTGCCCTGCTTCACCCCCGGCCCGGTCCCAGCGAGGGGCGGGCAGCTCTCCCCGTCGTTACCCCCTGCTGCCGCCGGCTGCCGCGTTTGAAAGGGCCGCCAGCGCGACCATGGCGCATCCACCGCCCGACGCGCCGCGGGGAGGAGCAGGAAGCGGCGACGGCGCCGCGCCGCAGGAAGTGCGGCCGGGCCGGGGCGGTGCCGCCATCTCACACCGCCTCTCACAGCGCTCGTACCGCCCCTCACA